CTTGTTTCGCATTTACCACCTATCGATTCTACTTATAAAGTATACGTGGTCCACATCCGTTGTGACATTTAAGGAGCACTCTATGAAATCTTTCTGATAACATTTTTACGTGTACAACTTTCCTTTCATGTAATGGATGCAGCATGTATTTTCGATACCTCGAATAGATGCGCAATTTCAAAATACATTCAAAATTATTCGCGCATAAAAATAAACTGTTTTAACCGCAAATTGATCTTATTCAGGTTTCGGATGTATAAGATAAATTAGTTTGCTAGCAGAAAGTAGAAAAATGAAAATATTTGTGCATGTTTTCCATAAGGAATTTTTGATTGTAAAAGATTATTTAAATCATTTTTACTATTTATTGGTCATTATTACGGAGTGCAGTACTTGCTGACGTTTTGAAATGAACTCCTTTGACAGGCGACACTCCGCTGCGAATGCGATATCTGCGAACCATGCCATATATTAAACCACCGATATTTGAGCCAAATCGACTGCCATTTCATCCGGGCTATGGTGATTTTTCCAAATTTAAATCATTCTTCATCAATTTACTTCACATTTAATGATTAAGCACATCTCGTTTACGTTGTGATGCAAATCAGGCGTAGTTGCAACACTGAAATTAGTTCTGACCTTTTTTGTCGCCAATCTACCAAGCGGTGGACGCTAGCGGTAGTTGTGAACATTCGTATTTTCCGAACAAGTGAGGAATGTGAGAAGCATGAGCTCGGTTACCGTTGGTCGCCGATGCCCCTTTTAAACAGGGCCTTGTAGGGGGGCGGATAAGATGACGCCTTCTACACAGCAAGATGCCATTACGCCGCACGCACTTTTCAAGATTAAACACCATCTGTCACTAGGAATTTGATTTCTCAGAATCTTGTTGCAAAGGACTGTCTACTGGGAAGCAAATCAAAATTTAAGCAAATAGATCCACATATAGACACTTCGCCAGGGTAGCGTTTAAGGGCAGCTTAGTCAAAATTGGTGCAAAAATATATTTTCAGCAAGCCGTTAAGTTTACTTACACTTATATTCATAGCTCTGTTCGTGAAAATATGAGTTTTCGTTATTTGAATCATAATCCCTATACTCCGAAAAACAGTCAGCGTTGCAGGCGATCTCCAAGGGAGGTCTACTAACGAAACTGGTGTAAAGTCGTCGGAGATCTTAAAACTTGGCCACATGGAATCATTTCTTCAAAGTGTTGAAAATAGTGTTATAACAGAAGAGCTTATTTGCAATAAGCAGCAAATTGTCCGTCAGTTTTAAAATTGACTGAATAGTCTGCCTTCCGCACTTAACCAATTTGAAGGTGGAATGAACAGATAAATCGCGAAGTGAGTCGGAACCATTGGAGCCCTTGATAAAATAGGAAGTAGCCATCTTATTTTCGCATTTTACATTTCCATCGATAAAACAGATCTCTGCCTGAATGGGAAGTGCTGTTTGCCGTCCGACAAAATTAATGTTATGCCCAACTAATTGTGCAAATGAAACGTTGTTCCCTCGTTCAACGTATACTGGCTTGCTTGCCTTTTTGACGGAAGTACCAGCATTTAACCCCAGGCTGATCCTATATTTAGCACCGTCTTAAAACGCCAGAACACAAATAGCAAGGCAGAACGAATACCTACGTTTGTGACTATGCTGCATCGAGAAATTAATATTCTTGCTTATTTTTCGATGCTAATCATAAAATTTAAGTTTATTTGTGTCAAG